CTATTACGCAGACTTCAGTCCAATTAACCTTACCATCAAACGGGTAGATAGCTTTACAATGTCCTATAGCTGGCAAAGGATCGTCATCTTCAAACTCGTCATCAAATTCATTATGGGGGCCGTGCTGTTGGGGTGGGCTTCGAACTTCTTGGTTTGCATCATCGGTGTAGCTCCCCTCAGGACTAAAATGTAATAGATAACAGAGAGCATTTCTCAAACCAAATCCTTATAGATTTTTTAATCAGTTAAAAAGAATCTCAAGCATGTTCAGATTTCATTGTAAATCATGAAGCTTTGCGAAGTAAACGTAAACGCGCCCTATATATGGACATGTATCCTGCACGAACCAGAAAGAGGGCTGAGAAAATATCTGCAGGACCCCTCACATCCTGGATATAATCAATTTCAACTTCTCCCCTCTGGATGCTGCTATAGGGCATTGAATGCCAAAACTACTACAGGAGATACAAAGGTAATCCCCCCCCATTCCATCACTCTGAACACTTCATTCCCACAGCTCTGTCTAAGACTCTAATTTCTCATCTTTTCTCACCATCTTATCTTTCCTACTATCTTCTCCTATTGGTTTCTTATAATTTGTCAACTATTGTTTATTATGACATTACTTGCTGTTTATATAGACACTATGAGCTTGTGCGCCAGAGACAAATTCCTTGTGTGTCTACTCACCCTTGGCCAATAAAGAATTCTATGATTCTATATGTAAAATATTACTGAAAAATACAGGCAGGGGATGAACATTGTTGAATATGCAATGGCTTTTAAAAGCAACAGTGCTTTGATTCCATCTGCCCAGCATATGAAAAAACAGAGCAATAATACTGGTACTTTAAACGCGCTCAGTCTATCGGAATAAAGTCCTGTCTCTTCTGATTACATCTTCTGATTCCCTCCACCACGCATGGTTTATAACAGTAGAAAAAAATAACCATACATATCCTTGTTTAAAATTTCAAAGTGAAACAGTCCGTAATTTTTAATCCCCGCTTTACTTAAAATAGAAAATGAAACAATTTGTTTACCTAAAAAGTTTTTTTTTAATTTCCACTGACTGCCTAAAAAAAGCAGAATATGTAGGAGTGTTTTTTTACTTTTTCAGCCTGTTTTGCCTGAATAAACAACCCTTAACTTACACAGTTTCAATTCTGCTACACCTCAATTGCAATGTAATGAAGAGAAGCGTATTTATTCCTTAGCAGTTAGCCAAGCAAATAAAACTGAGGAATGGTACAGCTTTTCTTTGGGAAAAGGAGAACTATATGAAGTTGGCTAAATCATTTGAAGCATAATGCTGAAGGCATTTTTGCAAGTGGAACCTTTGCATTCTTATAGGTTTTGTGAACACTTTTTACGAACACACACACGCACCACTCTTTCTAAACATTATTTCTGTCCATTAAAACACATGAATGTATCACTTTTTTAAACAGTTACAGAAATGTATAATATATGAAGGAAATCAATCCACTAACAATGCAATTGTATTATCAAAACAATACTGAAGGTTAACATGTCTAAATGTACATATCAGCACATAACAGAAAAGATGTTAAAAGGAAAAAAAAACAGGGCTGGAGAAGCTGGTAAGTATTGGAAGTGGCAGCTATTTCCTTCTCCAATCAGAAAGTTCAATAAAACTGAAACTATGTAAATAAAACTTCAGGTAGCGTGAAGATTTAATGCAAAGCTTTTTTGAGATGATGAGACACAAGAAGGTCTTGTGGGAAAAAAATGTCTTTTTTATATTTCTTTTACACACATTTACACACACTTTATATGTTTTAGTAAAATGACGGGATTCTAATTCTCCCTTGCCAAAAGCCTGGGTAAAATATCTTCCAAGGCTTTTCTCAAAAATAGCGGGGGAGGGGGGGCATCTGAATCTGAGGGAGAACCTTATTCCAGAAGACAGGTGCAGCTAAAGAGAAGGCACACCTGTGCAAGGAGGTGTTTTGCAATCCAAGGAACATATTTGGTGCACCTCTCTTCCAATAATTGTCAGCTGTACTTTCTAAGTCTGTCTGGCTGTTCCTGATTGTTATTGTATGTCAGAAGAGAGACGTTTTATATACTGTATGTCCTTGCTATTGCAAAACACCACTTTGAGAGGATTTGCCTTGCTCTGTATTTTAGGTATATAGATTACCTAAATTACTAGATTACTTGTTTTAGAAATCTACTGGCAGACCAGAAAAAAGTGTAATATAGCGACCTCTCTCTTCCTTGGGTTACGAGATGGTTGATGTCACTGCTGTGCCTTCGGTCTCCTCTTGTTGCTACTTTACCTTCAACTTCAGAAAGCCATGCCTGAAGAGAGAGAGAAATTGGTTACCTGTGCCAGGATGAAATATAAAAATTCTGTTTATATAACCCCTGCATGCTATATTTCTTGTACATATGTATGTACTTTTAGATTGTTTTAAAGTTGTTTTTTTTAAAGGCACTGGCATACTGCAGTACAAAATGACAGCTTCCAATATAACCTTTATGGTTCCAGTTATCCATTTGGTTTCATATGGGTCTAAAGCAGTGATAGCGAACCTTTTAGAGACCGAGTGCCCAAACTGCAACCCAAAACCCACTTATGCATCGTCAAGTGCCGGGTGGGTGTGGCCCATTGGGTGGGCGTGGCTGCGGCGGTAACGGCAGACTGGGTGGGACTAAAAAGTTCAATCAATCAATTCCAACTTTGCAAGATCTTTTTTTTTCCCTGTGAGAAGTTGAAATTGACTGATTGAACCTTTTTTTTTTTTTTTGCACACGGCAGCGGAGGCCTAACGTGAAAAAGTTTTATAAAACCCAGCTGAAGGTCTAGGACTGGGGCGACGGCGCGCGTGCCCACAGAGAGGGCTCTGAGTGCCACCTCTGGCACCCGTGCCATAGGTTTGCCACCACTGGTCTAAAGGAATACTCATAGGCAAGTAACTATTTGGAAATATTTTTTCCTCTCCAGGAGAAAACAGACAAATGTAACTGGGGAGTGATAGGGAAAAGAATGCAGAGGAACATTAAAAAACACTAAAGGGAGTTAGAGAATTGAAGAGCGTTTAGCCTGTGTTGTGGATACACAAACATGCATGTATGGTCAAAGGAAATAAAAATTAAACCCAGAATCAATTCTGTGTTCAGCTATCATGAAACCATCACTTACAAACTCTATAAATATCCAGACAGTTAAATTCATCCCCATTTGAAATGCCACAGCTAGTAAAACTATACTTCATGACTGTCTTTGTTTACCAAACTTTCAATTTTATTTAAGAATTAAGATGACCCAAATATATTCCCTGAAGTGTATTATTTTCAAATGGGACAGATTTAAATAAATAAAATAATAAATCTGTATCTACCGAAGTATTTTTCTAACTAAAGTACTTCCAAATATTATATTAAGTGCGTTTTGATTCAGTATAAAGGTAAAGGAGTCCCTGTGGATTTTACTCTGCTAGTCATTGCTGACTATAGGGGGGCAATGTTCATCTCTGTTTCAAGGCCGTTAAATCAGTGCTGTCTGAAGAATTTCTGCGGTCATGTGGCCAACATGACATCACGGAGCGCTGTTACCTTCCCACTGAAGTGTACACTTTCAAACTGCTAGGATGGCAGGAGCTGGGACAAGGACAGAGAGCTCATCCTGTCGCATGGAGCTCAAGTCTCAAACCTGGGCTGCCAGCCTTCCAATGACAAGTTCAGTGTCTTAATTGCTGAGACACTGCGCTGCTCAATTCAATTGAATATTTTTATGTATCTTGCAGGCAAAACCATCCATATAATTATCATCAATTCCTGCATTCAACTGAATATTAGACTGAGTTGGCAAAGACATTGAGGCTGTTGCAAATCAGCTGAAATGCTGCAGCAAAGAGGACTTGACTACTTTGATTTGAATGACTCTTCGGAACTTGTAGAATGCCTTGCTTAAGAGACTGAAAAGTTATACTAATCCTTGTCTGAAAAGCTATCCAATGAACAGATTTTAACCTCATTCTTGTGGATTTCCATTCGCAGACGGTCCATGTTGTTCATAGTTTCCATTAATTTTGGCTGAAGACTTCCTGGATCGCCCATTTGTGGATTTTTCTCATACACATCTTTCATTTTGATGAGGGCATCTCTACAGAAAAATGCAATTGTCAGGAGTTCATCAAATGATGTTCAACAGCCTGCCTATGTTCATCATCCTTTTGGGAGAAAGAGAACTGACTGTATACCAAAACCAGAGGCACTATAATGGGCTACTTATCTGTAATTGTGATTCTTCACTTCATTAATCTGTGAATTCACACAAAAAAGGTTGGGGCTTCCAATGCTTCACAGATCTTGGCAGGAACCTGTCCCCTTTGTGTATCACAACTACTCTTTTGTGTGGCATACGGCACCTTCTAACCTCCTCAATACTCAGATTCAAAAGTTGTATTAAACCCTAACAAAAAGCACAAAAATATCTGAATTTATACATGATCAACTGAAAACCCAAAGCTGGCTTCAGTTTTTGTGATTTGTACATATGGATGTGCCTATGTGGTAGAACTAGTGAGATTGATTTTTTTTTCTGAGTTTGCTTTGGATCAAATAAATATATTTTAAAATGTCTCAGTTATCACCCCAAGATGATAAGCATAGAATTTTTTTATAAGATTTTATTTTACATAAAGGATATCTCCTCTCTTAACAGTTCTTTCCTGGAACTACAGTATTTTACACATGAATGAAATTATATTTTGACTACTGTTGGATTAGGAACAATTAAAATTTTGTCTAATAATAACACAGGTACAGGTTGTGAACTATTCTTTCACAGACACTAATTACCATTTTCACAAGGATTATTCAAACAGGCAGTGCTCGATTTATGAGGATTAGGAATTACAATGGCCTCAGAATGGGTGTTTTTTACGGCCTGTAAATCACTGCCGGCCTTTGTAAAATGTTGTGCTCACCCCACCATTTAAAGCCGGTTGCCGCAACCCAGACTAACATGACCACATTTTGTTTCCACCCCCCCCCCCAAAATCCATTAGGAAGAATGGGTTTGCTTAATGACTGCACCATTTGCTTGATGACTGTGTGATTCGCTTAACAATCACTGCGAAAAAAATGTCAGAGTCTGGTCACATAGATGCCTCAACTTACAACTGTAACAGCTTACACTGGATTTCCGGTCCCAATTGATTGAAAATCGAGGACTATCTATAGTTTTTACTTTCTAGATACTAATTATCTCATTTTTCTTTCCCTATTTATACACTTTATAATTGTCCCTATTTATACACTTTATAATTCCTATCATTACTCTTATCTTCATTCTTGCCATGTTCCCTTACATATTTAGATGCTGGTTATCAATTTATTATTTCTTTGCATTCTACTCAAACAATAAACTCTCATTTTATCACAGCCAGGGGAAGATAATTGTTTACAAAGTGAAAGAAGAGAATTCCATCATCTTTCTGGGAATAAAAGCTGAGCTTTAGTGCTACATAAAGGTGGACTGGTTATCATCCAAAGTCTATAAATGTGAATCACACACAGATCACAACTGAAGAACCAAAATTCCAAATGCTTAGGAGGATTTATGATAAATCAAACCAGATGGATGCTTGGAGTGAAAGAGTTTCAAATTCTAGGTAGAGCAAAATAAAATCAGCATCAAGAGTCAGAATAACATAAATACTTTTGATCTGTCTCTTTCTGTAGTTCTCTGTTAAGCTCATCAATCCGCTGCTGAAGTTTTTTCCGCCTTTGTTCTGGTGGCAAGTGACTGAAATCTTCTTGGGAAGGACCCTGAAACCAAAGAAAATACAACACTTAGAAATGGTAGCTCTCCCACTGATATTTCTGTTGGCAGTAAACCTAACAGTATATTTCTTTGCTGTATAATGCAGTTGAAAGAAATAATTTACTCACTTCAATAATGCTGCAAACTATAGATCTAGAAAAAAACGTATATCTAATACTGAATTTGGTATCTTGATGATCTACTGTTCTTTGCTACTCCAAAGCAACAATTGAACAATCTGCAAATGGATGTGGTGGGTTACTATATTCTTTCCCAGTATGCTTAGAGTATTACAATATTCTTCCTTATTACAAACAACAGAACAAGAGATAATAAGCTTAAGTTCTAGAAAAGGAAATTGGATTAATATATTAATAAGAGAATTGTAATACATTTTCTTGCAATTTTGGAAATTATTTGAAGGAGAAAAACAATCTCCAGGAATAGTATAGATTTATTAATCTATTTGCTGTAGCAACATCCAAAAAGGCTATAATATAGAATACATACTTGGGTTTTTTCTTCAAATCATATAAATGTTTTGCCACTTTTTAAAAAGATTCCTCTAAAAAGACATAAACCCTGATAACTAGAAACTGGAAGCCAATCTCAGGAATGCAAACTCCTTTCCCAAAATGAAGATACATTTCAGTTTTAACTGTGGTTAAGCAGTAAATTTGTACCAATATCAACGTAAGTAGTTAGATGTTTTACTCAAATTTGAAATGTTAATTTAACACAAGAATACTTGTATTATGTTGGGAGTTTTTAAAGCTGTGATTATAGTGCAGGACACATCGTGTAGTATTTTGCCAACAAGGTTTCCCTTTATTATTTTACTGTAAATAAAACTAATATTGGTAAAGCTCTGTCAGCACAAGAGTGAATGCAATAGGAGTACACAGTAAGGATCTATCTAGTTTGATTGTGTAACTCTTAGTTAAAAATCGGTCTTCACAAACCCATTTACCTGTAATAAAGGTCATTCTTTAGCCCAAAAGAGATTTCTTATGAAAAAAAGCTATTAAAGAGCTTGGAAGTAGTCAGTCTCAAACTTCACTGAAAACACGTTGAAATTTTCTCCAAACAGGGAAGATCACATGCCAAAGAACAAAATTGGTTCTTTGACAGAAAATCAAGAACAGCAGCACCCCAAATCTAAAAACCAACAGCCACTTCTTTTTAGCCTTTATTTCTTGCTTCCCGTAGCACATGATGGCAAATTAATTTCATGATATAATTCGCTCTATTTTCTGGAAAGCTTGATTTGGGAATAGTTACATCATACCCCTAAATCAAATTACTTGGCATGAGCGCAGACTGAATTTAAACAGAAACCTTTTTTTTAATAACCTACAGAAAGTTCATTTCCAAATCCTAATATATTGAAGACAATACAAGCAATTTCTATCACATTCAACGCTGGGAACATAATTAGCAAACCCCAAACTATAAACAAGCTGTTACAATGAAAGATTCACAAATCCACCTACTTGAACACATGTAATTAACAATTTAATAAATTAACTGGTTAATTACAAGCCAAAGAGGAATTTACAAGCCTTTATTTTAATGGTTTACCATCTGTTTAAAGAAGCTAAACAAGGCAGGCTTGTTAAGTCCAGTTTTCTACATAATTTCATACTAATTTTTCTAGATCAGTAGTTTTACTGCAGTAGTTTTTTTCAGGAGAGGCTGTCTAGTGAACATCTAAATACAATATGGTAAAACATAATGATTTTGTAACATCTTACATTCCATCATTACGATTCAACTGATGTTAGTGGTGTTCTTACGCCACTTAAGAAAAAGATTTTCTTGGGAACTTTTTCTATTCTTAAATATAACACTGGAATCACCACCATGCACAAAAAATATCCCATAAAGGCTAGAGAGAGCCAAGTTCCAAAGAAATTGAATGGGATGGGGGACTGAAAAATCCAGGCATTCTTACAAGAATGCTGCCTTCAAAACTGATCTCAGATAACTGCCTTCAGTACAATAAGCAACATTTGTTTCTAGTTTTTCCCACCATATTTATTGAATTTCTATTGAATTCTATGTAATTTTATGTCAAAAAATTAATATAACTGTCAGGAGTATCTGCAGGGATGTGTGCCCTGTCTATTTTGTGTGCATATTGTGGTGATGCACATTTCCAAAAGAGTTTGCAGCAAAATATTGGTCTCCTTATTTTGAGAAAAGCAGAAGGAGGCTATGGATTCTACTTATTTATGAAAATTAAGTTTTATGCTTTCTTTATCAATTGCAAAGATAGCTGAAATTATATTTACATCTTCCCTTTCTTTTTTCCAAAGTCTTATTATTTTTTCCAGCAACTTTTTATTACATTAAACAATAGAAATATATAAATTTTCTTATTGATTCACAAAATAAACTAAAACATTTTCCAATCTTATGACTGTACACATTATTAGGTTTGAACAGTTTTATTATTAAAATAACCTCTTAATATTTCTTCTGTTATCACAGTAAATTATACTCAAGCGTCAAGTTTCATTTTCCATTGCTTCCATAATAGCATTCTACATCGATAATAGAATTAGCTTGATATATTTCAATGTTATTTTAAATTCATTTTTTAAAAATATGCAAATGATGTAAATAGAACGTTAACTAAAAATGGATGTTGATACGTCTTTTTTTTAAAAAACCAAACCTGCTTACAACAGGTCTAATATATAAAACTGCACTGGAAAATATGTTAAGGATATTTTTTCTGATTAAGTCACGTTTGCAAAGATTTTCTAAATGTATGTTAAAGAAAAGGATGATGGATTATTTCATCAAAATGAACCAGCTTTACATGACTTCTAAATAATGGATAAACTCCTATGTAATAATGTAAGACCTCTTATACAAAGCTAATTTTCCTCTTTTCTTCCCTAAATGCTCCTTGTATGCTTCATCTATTATCTTCAAAAACTTCAGAGCACCTTGGGAAGATGTAGAAAGACCCTGTTTATTCTGGAATTGGATGCAGAAATAGGACTTCACCCTCCCCAAATAATTGTAAATATTCAGTAATCCAAACAGAACAATTCTATATCACGCCACACTGATTTTTTGCCCCACAGACCCAATTCAAATGGGTGTAATTTGTGTAACAGAGCTCAAGTAAGCTCTAGGTGAAATTATTTTCATTTCATAAAGACAATGCGTAAACACATCCTACTTTGTAAGATGAATTATATCTTTATCAGACCAGTAATGCAATCTATAAAATAGCAGGAAATTGTTTGCAGCAAGCACAAACGAACTATGAGACAAAGTGACAAACGAAAGTATGCACACATCTGACTAACTGACTCAAAAGCAACTACGAAATGGATAAGCTATTACATGCTATTTTTACGAATTACAGCAGACAGGTGTAGACAGTATACACGCCTTACCGTCTTCATCGACCACTGACCAAGTTTAGTTGAAAACAGAAAGAAACAGGAAATTATTTGCATACTTCCAACCAGTATTTAGGAAGATTTTTGAATGTAAAATATCCACCCAATACCAGCTAATCTGGCATATATTATTCAGAAGCAACTCTCACTGAATTCACTAGGGTTTGCTATCAAGCATAAATAGTACTACATTCCTTATTATGAAATATTCTATTGTTATGCTCATTTTAAACATAACCTAAAGTACCGCAATAGTATACATGGAGGTCGCAGGCAGCCGTGGTTTAAAACAGAAGCAATAGTCTAACAGTTTAGAAGTAACAGTTTAGAAGTACACAATACCTTTGATATTTTACTATTTCTACCAAAAAAAAGCACATGCAGAAGCATTTGACAATGGCAATGACCTTAGGTTTAGAGTCAAAATCTACAGTATACGCTTATTTAACTTTGAAAAAAATGCCAATATTTAAACGAAGCTCCCAAATTCTGAGTCTCATGTAGTTCTTTAGTCCTTTTTAGCTAGGTTTATCTATATAGGAAAACAGTGAAAGCAAAGTTATTCACATGTTTTCCCCTGTTTTTGATATGTTCAGCTGTCAATAGATGGCTAAAGCTATGAGTAGTTAAAGTCCATGCCATTTTATTCAGGGGGGAAAAGAGTATTTGAATTATCCTCGTAATAGTTATTTCTTGATTATTTTCTATTTTTAAAAATGATAACCAAAGGGTGAAGATAAAGAGGGCTGGACTAGAAGACCTTCAAGGTCCATTCCATTCCATTCTATATGATGCAGGAATTGTTGGGTTTTTAAATGTTTAGCCATTTTGTCCAATATAGAAAATGCTATTTCAAGTCAGAATGTTGATTATAAATTAAAAATAGAATACAGAATAATGGGGTTGGAAGGGACCTTGGAAGTCTTCTAGTCCAACCCCCTACTCAGGCAGGAAACCCTATATCATTTCAGACAAATGGTTGTCCAATCTCTTCTTAAAAACTTCCAGTGTTGGAGCATTCACCGCTTCTGGAGTCAAGTTGTTCCACTGATTAATTGTTCTGTCAGGAAATTTCTCCTTAGTTCTAGGTTGCTTCTCTCTTTGGTTAGCTTCCATCCGTTGCTTCTTGTCCTGCCTTCAGGTGCTTTGGAGAATAGATTGACCCCCTCTTCTTTGTGGCAGCCCCTTAGATATTGGAACACTGCTAATAAAATGAAGTGTGCCAATTTGGCATGAACAAACCTCTCCTGAGCTGTGATATGGGACTGTAAATATTTCTTTTTTTATACAACACAAAATCATTAACATTTCCCAATCAGTACGGAAGATCAGATTCTAGCCCTCATAATGAAAGCCAATGTCCTTACAGTGATTGTCCCTTTCATTTTTTATGGTGAGGCAAGCAGCATATAAAATTAATAAATAAATATAAATGCTCAAGACTTTAAAGTTGCATCTGGAGAACTCTCACAGTATTCTTAAATTAAATTTTATTACTTTGGGCAGCTATCATTTTTTTCAAATACGGAGTTATTCAATAGATCTTCTCAACAGAGCCACCATGATTAATAGTTAAGAAAATGGAGATAATGTAAACTGTGTTTTTTTTAATGATTTACAAACTTCTTAAAGATAAGTTTCTCTTGCTGCATTAATTATTATGCTAAGAGCATTTTCTCTCAGAATGCTGGATGCAGATTACAAAACTGCTATATAAGAATTAGATGTAATGTGAGTGCAGAATCTAGCTAAGCTTTAGAAATACAAAGGAAGCCTAAGAAATATTTTATCTCTAGCGTCCTTAATTCCAACCAGAGATGAGAACTCTTGCCAAATTTGCTTTTTCTCGCCTCATAAAATCTATCTGAAAAACTTAAGTGTGGAAGAATAACAGAATTATAATCCAAATGTATGTTTTTAATGAAGTCTAATCATCTAATTTGTTCTAAATGAATGGGCAAGGGGTGTTTTGGTTCAAAATTTGCAAATTTTTTAGGCTAAAGAGCAAGAATTATAGATTAAAACCAGATGCTGAATGGAAAAATGACTGCGTTCTAATCTAAGACAAGGAAATTATAAGAAATCCATAGCCAGAAGAGAAAAAGGGAGCAAAGCAGCTCACTACAATGAGAACCTATCTAATAATTAACTAGAACCGCTTATGATATCTTTGGACTCTGAACTGCTTCTCTCAAGACCAACGTGCTCAACTATAATAAGTATATAGTGTTATAATTTTGATTCCACTGTGCAAGTGTGTGTGTATAGAGGGGGAATTCATTAAATTTCTGGTTATCAAGACTCAGGATTAGACTCCCACATATGAAAGAATGTATTTCAGAGCAAATGATCTTATGCTAGTTCATTTGTCGTGGAATAATAAATATTGGTTGGAGATCACTTCTTCCTTAGAAAAAAAACTCCATTTGCAGAATCTGCCAGTATAAATTAGTAAGCACACTTCCTGAACTGCACTCGTAATAGTAATCCATAAATGAGTGAACAAACATGTCCTTCAAGAAATAACAGTAAATTAGCCACTAGAGTGAAGAACACTGCATTTAAATGTTATTTAAATAAGTATTATATATTAAAATGAAAAGAGACAGACGTGTGTGAATTATTAAAGGGCAGGCAGATATTTCAAAAAATGAAGATATGTTTCCCAGAAGCTAGCCTTTTAAGATATCCCATTACAATCAATAATCTGAAAAATTAAAAAGCCTGCTAATATTCAAGGTGGCATATAATGGGTTTTAACATTCATTATACAAAATTCACAGCATACTTAAAAATATATGCTCTGATCATGAATCAAGAGTCAGTTCACAGGTTGTCAAGGCTAAACTCAAATTAACACTAGAGGGCAATAACATGGAGGTAGGCCCACAACTTACGACTACAAATGAACCCAAAAATTCTGTTGCTAAATGAGACAGTTGTTAAGCAAGTTTTGGCTCATTTTTCAACCTCTGTTACCACAGTTAAGTGAATCACTGCAGTTGTTAACAGTTAGTAACACAGTTATTAAGTGAATCTGGCTTCCCAATTGATTTTGCTTTTCAGAGGGTCACAAAAGATGATCACGTAATCCCCAGAACATTACGACCGTCACAAATATGAACCAGTTACCAAGCATCCCAATTGTGATCGCGTGACCACGGGGATGCTTCAACGGTTGTTAAGTGTGAAAAACAGTCATAAGTCAACTTTTTTTCAGTGATGTTGTAACTTTGAACGGCCACTAAATAAACTGTGGTTAAGTCGAGGACTACCTGTAATTGGACTTGTGCCTGATCACTTTACAATAACAAATATCTGAGGAGAGGCACCTGATAGAAACACATCTTTCTGACTAGACGACATACATGTCTTGGGAAGCTCATAGTGAAATCTTGGATCCACTGTTCATGTGTGAAGTCAGAGGTACAAAGCAAAAAATATTGGGAGTTCAATCGTAAAGAACTGGCCTCTACTAAAACTCATAATTAACCAATAGCAACTGTATATGTGGATGACATTTTTATTAGCAGTAATTTAAAAAAAAAAACAAAGATCTTGGAACAGGTAAAATATCCTTGCCTAGACTTCCTAGAGCAGGGTTAGGCAACCTTGGCTCTTTTATGACTCGTGGACTTCAACTCCCAGAATTCCTGAGCCAGCCATGGCTGGCTCAGGAATTCTGGGAGTTGAAGTCCACGAGTCATAAAAGAGCCAAGGTTGCCTACCCCTGTCCTAGAGGATGGGTCAAGGGGAAATGCATCATCAGACTTGCCATGCACAGCTTCTTGGAAGAAGGTTGGAACAAAAGAATTTTAAAATAATTTTACCTGCCTTTCCTCATAATTATTTATTATAAACATCTGAAGTAAGTATGGGTGGCTGTCAGCATGACTTTTTAAAAATCTCTCGGAAAATCTAAACCTCTTTTGTTAAAGAAGTCAGCAAACAAGATAGAAATCGACCCCTTTTTTTAAACAATTATCTCACTTCTCTTTCCTTACCAACAATTTCTAGTGCCCAATGCTATATTAATATTAATGCCAATATTAAACACACTCAGGAAACAATGAGAACATGCACTCAACATCTTCTTTGTAATACCATCAGAGTCAGCTGTTTCTAACGTTAACATTCATCGTGGTGCTAAGCAGAGCTTTTTCACAACATGGAATTAAGCAACATGACTGTCGACCGCACCACTGCCAGTAGAAAAGCTACGATGGTGGAAGCCACACAGAAGCACACCACAGCGCCATCATGCACCTAATACAACTCATAAAACTTACCCCTCTTTTGAGGCTTTTGAAAGAAGGCATTCTGGGCTTCCCTGTCTTTATTTCATTCATGCAATAATGCATTTGTTCAATGGAGAATATGGGATACTGGGAACCATTAGAAGTACTGGACGTATATAAACTAGTAGGGGTAAGGGGTGGGGACTGTGGCTGATATGAAAAGAAAGGAAGAGATAAGGCAAACATTCAAAGTGATGAAAATTCTGTCTTTTCCTTTCAACACAGAAACAAATGATGGGTTGGATCCAGAGTAACAAAGGAACGAATTTCTGCAAACCGAATGCTCCCACAACTGGAAGGGGAGATTTTAACCAAATGACCCCTACTTCTGAAACCCATAGTAACCATCCTCTCCTAAATATGCTTCAGAAGATTGGAGGACTTTAAAAATAATATGAAAGGTGGAACCGGAGGTGGAGAGAGGGAAAATGTGAAAATAATCTTCTTTACGTAGCCTCCATTGCACGATTCACTTTAGGGAATGGGGAAAAAAATCTTCCATATCAGCACACAGAGTCTGGATCCAAGCCCATAACATTTTATATTTTCATCATTACAATTATCAGCATCAGAATGTATCATCATAAAGCCTATACCATAATAAAAATAATTTATACTGTTTAAGGCATCACAAAGCTCTTGTTTTTAACTACCAAAATGATAAAGACACCACACTGAGCTCACAAGAATTTCAAAATCACAATGAAAGCTATCCTTTGGGACTAACTCAAAAACACACCAATAAACTTCGGTCATAAAAGGAAATACATACAATAGGCATTGATATTTTATTTATATGTACATGTGGTGTCATTTGCTTCTTGCTATGAAAAAATGAAAATTAAAACCTTATTTTATCCCAAATTTGGATGTCCATTTTAACAATACATGAAACCAGCGGCTTCAAATATTAATAGAGATACACCATGCAGTCAGAATTTACAATGGCATTCTTTCATCTAAAGCAGGCATGTCCAACCTTTTAGCTTGTCTGGACTGCACTGGGTGAAGAGGAAGTGTCTTGGGCTGCATATAAATATATAATATAGTTAATGTACATAAATTCACATAATAATATTAAAAGTTTACAGTATTTTGGGCTGCGTTACTAGCTACCCAGGGCCAAATGTGGCTCACAGGTTGGACAAGCCTGATCTGAAGTATTAACATTTTCTACACAAATTTCCCATACAATCCACCATAATTCAGTTGCTCATCCCAATGTCAACAATATTTACAGTTATAAGGTCAACTTAGACTTAATATTATTAGTTTTTCATACTTCGAAAGGAATTAACACTAACTTCCATTTGAACCTTCAGGTCACCCTCTTCTCAACAATATTCACTTTTTCACAAGTTTTATCTTATAAATATGAAACCATACTCAACAAAGCTTCACCAGAACAAACAAAGCTTAAACGAACTATACTCTTATCTGTACTACATTTGTCATGTAAGTTAAAACCATCAACCGATTGTGCTTATTAATTTCTCTCCAGTCCACCAGAACACTTCTATTTCAACAAGTATAATTCCACATGGATAGCAAGATATTGCATGATGTAACAGTTCAGCAACAACTACAGAGGCTGCTACAACTGTTCAGATCAGCTACAAGAGTCTCTGTCCAAGTCACTGTCTGGTATGGATTACAATATTTTTACAATTCCAGGAGAATTTCTGTATTTATAGTCCTAATCAGTCACAGTATATGCTTTTGACTTGCTGGGACTCAGCTGCTGGAATGCCATAGTTGAATTATGTAGGGATGAGAGACCAAAATGTTCATAATAGCAGTTATACTCTGGAACATACTAGAACCCAGTTTCTAAAATGAACAGTTTTGCCCACAAAAATCAATCTGATTATTCTGTTGCAAAAGGTAACATTTAATCACTGAATTACAACCTTGAATGTGCATGCAATCATAGGATACATTTCAATTTTCTTTACCTTTGGTTTCTTTCCAAAGAGCCAGAGTTTGCCCTTAGCTTTGCCCACAGTGGTTTTTGCATCGATTTTCATTCCTTCCTGTTTCGGGGTACTAATTGTTCCATCAGAAACAGTCCTATAAATGTGTTGACTGTAATCTTCAAATGGAAAATCTCCAGGAGGTTCAAAGCCAGACTTAAAGGAGTCTATTACTATTTGAGAATCCTTTATGAGAGAAATTTACAGAGTTAATGGCTTAAATATCGCATTTAACTAATATTATACTGAAAGACTATCTGTTCTTCAAGGCATTCCAGATCAGGAAACCAAAATCATGAATACTAATACTACTTTTATTGTTAAGGTTACAGCAACAGAATCTTGCAAGGCTGAAAGCGCCACCCCCACCCCCGACTTTATGTTCCCGAGAACTAGGAAGGATCAATTCTGAGGCGATTCCTCAAAACACATTTCTGGTTTGAACTCAGATTTTTGTTTGTTTTTTAACTGACCACTGTCTAGGTTGAAGCTCTTCCTCCAGTCTCTCAAGGTTATTCCTTCTGCCCATTATACTACCAAAATCCAATAGTCTCCTTTTGGTATATGTAAAAATATTAGACTGTTTTTTTTTCCAAACAGGCAATATTAAATAGCCACAGTGCTTAGAGAGATAAAAATATCAATGAAACATGGTATATTTCTTTAATTAACTATAATCAGATATGCAAACCCGAAACCCCACCAATAAGACTGGCTGCCATATCTGCTGGAATTTGATTGCAAACAATACAATCTGTCCTCGTTTAGCAACTCCAGGAACAGAGACTAAGCCAACCGTGTCTCTCTCTCTCTCTCTCTCTCTCTCTCTCTCTCTCTGTGTGTGTGTGTGTGTGTGTGTGTGTGTGTGTGTG